GGGCGACAGAGTGAGACTCCAACTCAAAAAAAAAAAAAAAAAGAGTTCTTCCTATACTAGGGAGTTTACTGTGTGATATGGGTTGCAGATATTCTCCCCCATTTGTCTTTTTACTTCACATATGGTGAATTTTTGCTGTTGGTGGTGGGGGTTGACCTGTTTTATTTCTACCCTACAGAAGTTGTTTGATTTTATATAGAAGCATGCAGCAATCTTCTACTTTATGACAGGGGAGTTTGAGTTGTAGTTAGCAGGGCCCTCCCCACACAAGGGCCAGAAAGATGCGTAGAAACAGAGCAGCCAACTTACCCCTCCCTCAGCTCCCTTGTCTGGAAGAAGCTAACACAAGTCCATAGGCTAAATGTAACTCACATACCTGGGGCTGCTGTCTCTTCCTCTGCGCTCAGGACTTGGGAATCAGGCCTGGATATTTGGGTTCCCTCTCAGGGAAGAGACCCAGGCCTTATCTTCATATCTCGCCAACCTGATACAATGCCAGCATGTAGGCACACTGAATGGACTCTTCAGGCAGAATTGGACTTAAAGCCCCATGATCCTGAGATCCATATAGTCACTATCACTATCCCCTCTTCACTGTGAAATCTACAACAATCTATTTCTTGTCCCACAACTTCACTTTCCTCATCTATACAGTCTTATTAAATACCAACCTCAGCCAGGCTCGGTGACTCAGCCTGTAATCCCCTGCCTTTGGGAGGCTGAGGTGAGTGGATTGCCTGAGCCCGCGGGTTCAAGACCCGCCTGGGCAGCAAGACCTCATCTCTACAATAAATCAAAAAATCAGCTGGGTGTGGTAGCGCATGCCTGTAATTCCGGCTACTTGGAAGGCTGAGGTGGAAGGATCACCGGAGCCCAGCAGGTCGAGGCTGCGGTGGCCGGGAGTGGCCACTGCACTCCAGTCTGGGCGACAGAGTGAGACTCCAACTCAAAAAAAAAAAAAACAAAAAAAACCAACCTCAGTGCTGTAATGAGGATTAATGTATCTCAAAAGCCTTTATGACAATGATTGTCATGCTAATGTACACTACTATCGTGATAGTATGGAGTCTGACAGTTAAGTTCATGATCTCATCCTAGAAAAAGTGCTCTATCCCTCATTGCTGAATATCACTTCTGTCACCTTCAAAGTACTCCCCTTGGGGGCCAGCTCGGTGGTTCAACCTGTAATCCCAACACTTTGGGAGGCTGAGGTGAGTGGATTGCCTGAGCCTGAGGGTTCGAGACCAACCCAGGCAACTTGACGAGACCTCATCTCTACAATAAAAAAAAAAATTGGCTGGGCTTGGTAGTGCGTGCCTGTAGTTCCAGCTACTTGGAAGACTGAGGCGGAAGGATTGCTGGAGCCCAGCAGGTCAAGGCTGTGGTGGCCGTGAGCATGCCACTGCACTCCAGCCTGGGCGACGGAGTGAGACTCCAAATCAAAAAAATATATATATATATCTATATATATACTCCCCTTGGGAAGCTATGCACCGATGCCAGAACCTAGTCCACCCACCAAAGCAACTTTTGAACTCTCTTTCTGGAATGGCCGTCAGAGCTGTTGTTGTATTACCCTTGATGTCCTGAATGTCATCAAATGTCTTCCTTTTAATATTTTCTTTATCTTTGGGTAAAGAAAAAAGCCACTGGGGGCCAGATCAGGTGAGTAGGGGGAATATTCCAATACAGTTATTTGTACAGTGCTGCTAACATAAGTGAACAGTGGCAAGTTCACAAACTTAATTGTCAGACCCCAGCAAATGATGACCGCTCTGATGGCCATTCCAGAAAAAGAGTTCCAAAATTGCTTTAATGGATAGACTAGGCGCTGGCATCAGTGCATAGCTTCCCAAGGGGAGTACTTCAAAAGTGCCTGTAGTGATAATCAACAATGAGAGGTGAAGCACTTTTTCTAGGATGGTGTGCAAACCTCATTGTCAGACCTCATATATTGTGCTATTGTGAGGCAACTGATTAATACACTACTAACAGCAAGTATTGATCAAAAGATTTGGGGAAAAATGAATTTTTCCCATCTTTCTGAGAAAGTGTTAATGTAATATAAATATTAATTTTGATATGTGGTGATTCTAACATCAGTGTCATTTCTACCCACAGCTAATAAGAGACATGGTTAATGTCTGTGAAACGAATTTGTCCAAACCCAACCTACCATCTCTTGCCAAATACCGAGCTTTGAGATGCAAAATTGAGCATGTTGAGCAGAATACTGAAGAATTTCTCAGGGTTAGAAAAGAGATATTGCAGAATAATCACAGGTAAGCCTAAAGGAAATTTGTAAGTGTCTGTTGTGGTGTGATGCGCCTAGAGATTCTGGCAAAGAGCTGATCATGATAATCACCTAGATGATTTAATCCTCAGCAACAAGGTACATTAGGTATGATGACAGATTACTTTATTCTGTATCTGTAGTAGGGCCTGGGGCAGTATTCTGTATTTGAAAACACTCCCTACTATTCCACTCTGATTTCTAGGTTACCTAATCTTGCCAAGGATTACATTTAAACGTTTTAAATAAAAAAGTGAGTCTGGGGTGGGAATGGGATTAACAGTAGCAAATATCTGTCTGGGGATGGGGAAATACCTCTTATCAACAGGGTGTCTGAATGAAGCGTAATTGTACACCTAACCCTTAACTGTACCCCGCAAAACCGTAATAAAAAATATTGATTAAAAAACAAAAAAAAAAAGCCGGGCTCGGTGGCTCAGCCTGTAATCCCGCGCCTTTGGGAGGCTAAGGTGAGTGGATTGCCTGAGCCCGCGGGTTCGAGACCCACCTGTGCTGCGAGACCTCATCTCTACAATAAATCAAAAAATCAGCCGGGCATGGTAGCACATGCCTATAATTCCGGCTACTCAGAAGGCTGAGATGGAAGGATCGCTGGAGCCCAGCAGGTCGAGGCTGCGGTGGCCGGGAGCAGCCACTGCACTCTAGTCTGGGCGACAGAGTGAGACTCCAACTCAAAAAAAAAAAAAAAGAATAAACCACTGAAATATTAAAATGAACAGTCTTTGATACCAGGTGCAGTGGCTCACGCCTGCAATCCCAGTACTTGGGGAGGTGAGAGGATTGCCTGAGCCTAGGGGTTTAAGACCAACCTGAGCAACTTGGTGAGATCTTGTCTCTACAATAAAATAAATAAATAAATTAGCCAGGCATTATGGCACATGCCTGTAGTTCCAGCTACTTGGAAGCCTGAGGTGGAAGGATCGCCCGAGCCCACCAAGTCAAGGCTGTAGTAGCTCTGATCATGCTGCTACTCTCCAGCCTGGGCAACAGAGCAAAAAAATAAAAATAAAAAGCAATCTCTGGGCACAGTGAGATTGATTATGGGTTAATTTTAGACCCTTTATGCTTTGCTATATTTACCAAACAACTCATAAACAGATTGTACTACATTAATACACTTTTAAGAAGTCTGTAATGGTTCATAATAAGTAGCATTTTTTGTTTTGTGTGAAAGTTTGAGGTGAAATGCTATTAGAGTTTTTAAGTTGCTTTAAATGCTAACTTCTGACAATGATTGATATTATGTTCTTTAAATTATGTGAAATTGCTTTGAATCACAGGGACAAGTTCTGCAAATAACTTGAATAAACCATTTAAAATATATTTTTTTTAAATAGTGAGTCTGTGTTGCAAAGGTGATTACAGAGGAAAAGCCACTAAAACGAGGACTTAAACATGCAGGAATATGTGTATGGCACCTTCTAAAATAGCCACCACTCTGTGGCATGAAAAACTGCCACCACTCTGTGGCATGAAAAACTGCATTGAAAACTGGAAAAGCTCATTGACAAAAAGGGCATACCTAAATATCCGTTACACTTGCGTCCTCCCTCTTGTGTCTGCCTAAGTTCTTGCACTGATGTGCATTTTACTGTAACAGCGAACTCGATGGATCAGCGACTCAGACCAGCCTTCACTGGGTGTCAATGTCTCTGAGTCACCTTGGCTGATCCCTGCCCAGCTTCTAGGTTCAGAAACTCATGTCAACTCCCATTGAACTGCCACTTGTTCTTCTGGGCATTTCTGGCATCTCAGATCTTGCTACTTGGGCCAGGTCTCCCCTTCATCAGCCTAGCACACCCCTTAGAACCTGTGGTGATTTGTTTGAGCTATGTGTACCAGCTATGAGAGCCAGTGGTCAAAGCTTTAGAGATTTTGTGAACTGGTTGTTAAACTACAGGTAGCTTGAAATCAGTCACGGTGGGAAGATTTGCACCAGAGAAATCAACAAATGCTGCAAATAAAGGTTGTCATGTGGGTGTTGCTGTTGTTTTGAGAGCTGGTTTTCCAACATTCCACTAGAACCACACCCAGCCACTCCAGCCTTATAGACTAATTCAGATCTGTCCAAAATTATGTTCTGCTTTCCTTGGTCATCCTCAGAATCCATTCCCAAAATCACATCACATCCACTAACATGGCTATAATTTTTTTTTTTTTTTTTT